GGGCTGGCTTTATCCACATAAGCCTTGTGTGGTGACTAACCCCAACATTTCATACATAGTTAATTGTAATTATATGTTTATACCTCTAAACATTGTCAAAATTACAAATTTTTTTTGAGGGTGTAGTCTTTTCTGTTATTTGCCATTCTCTCTTATTTGATATTTTTAATTGTAATATTTCTACCTTTAATGTAATAGGTCTATGTATGTAATATTTAATATATGAAACTGAATTTTTATGTAATTTTATGTACCTTATTTTTAATCTTTAGACATTTATTTTTTATATCATTTTGTATATTTACTGTTTTTTTTTTCTTGTTTTTTTTTTGAGTTTTGACACACTGTTGGGTCTTTAATAGATAAAAAAAAAAATCCAAAAGAATAAAATATGTAATAATATTGAGAAAAAGTGGTCCGGCCAAAGCCGGTGCGGCCCCGACGGTCCTGCCTACTGAATCCCCCAACTATGGCATCTGCAGAGGGAGGTTAATCACTGTGAATGGACTGATCTATAATGACTGACTGACTTGGAATTCCAAATGTAACTGGGCTTGTGCAACATAATATTAATATATATCTATTTATTTCTTACTAAATATATATATAAAAAAATCTTTTAACCTTTTTTTTAAATAAATTTAGTTAATTTAAGAATTGTAAAGCACTCTGTGCATTATGGTGGGTAACCAGGGGATGATTCTTAATAGAATAACACATAGGTACATACTTTTTTTTCAGTTTCAGACTTGAAGGAGTCTGTTATATTTGTTGCTGGTAAAGTTAGCAGAATCCAATCCAAATTAAATGACATATGTGTTGTACAACTCCAGGAGACTCAGGTAAGAATCCTAAATTATTGTGGTCATTATCAATAGAAAATTCATGTATATTCATGTTCATTCATGTCATTGTATATTTCTAATTTAACAGAGTTTTTCAGAAGACAGCGATTTGGAAAAAAATGGAATTCAATTTCACTGACTTGATCATGGATGAATCTGACATTTTTTAAATGTGGTGGCTTGATTCAGGATCTCAAATTGGGGTCAAAGGTTTCTTATATCAAAGGACATGGCATTTGAGCGTAGTATTCCAGTGCATAGAGACTAATTCACTATCTTTCCAAGCAGCAGCAGCAGCACACAATTATTACCAGGTACATCTGGTTAAAGAAGTACAGTACTGCAAATCAGAAAGTTCTACACCCAATGACATAACAATGGGCCAGCCTCACCGATTTTTGGTGGGACAGGAGGGAAAAATTGTCAGACTCGGATGCCACTTAATGTTGTTCGATTTAATACTTATTTGCTGATGCTACCAAATTTACTCTGCGGCTAAGGGATTTGAAATTCGTAGTCAGATCATTAGTTGTGATGCAAGTTGGATAACTTGTTAAATTTTCTGGCGCTATGCCATAAGCCATTGCAAATGTAAATATGTATAGTATTATAATGTAGATTCCGTATTAAAGAATGTTTGCATTGGATAAACTTTGTATTAGTACCATTCTTGGAAATCAAATTATATTAACTTCTTTACAACTTGTCAATACAATAATATTCTGAAAAACTCCAGTGACAAAGTATAGAGTCATAACCAAATTTATTCAATAATACATACACATTTTTAAAAAACAATTTTTAATCTGTATTTTGATTATTTTAAAAATATTTTGCCGTATAAATAAATATATTCTTTTTAATGTTGTAGTTTTACATGACAAATGAATATATGTAATATTATAAAAATATTAAAATTATTCTACACTTAATTACAGTATTAGAAATTAACTTGACTAAAATGAGGAATGTTTAGTGCATTCTATCATGAAAATGACAACAAATTGCTGGACATTTCACGAACAACAATATCACCAATATTAATCTTTATATGAATAAATATATATAATTTATAGTTTTTAAATATGACAAGGATAATAATTATTAAAGTTTAAATACTATTATAATTGTAGTATCATTGAGACAAACTATACTAACACTCAACAATTCAGATAACAAGCCTATATACAATACATTATACCATTTTAACACTCCAATAATTTGTAATAGGCACTGCATTTACAGTATTTAAATATAACTATATATGCTAATAATACAATTACATTCCATATAATACGATAAGTATTTTTATACAAATTCTCATTATCTCATGATTATAACTTACATGATGATCAGACAGCATATTTGGAAGGCACAATGAGAAGTGAAACACTTCTCCGTTCTCCGATAATTTATAATATAATAATATGATTGATTACATAACCAACACCTGTAATCTGTAAACGCCATATAAGAATAATAATAATAAAGATTTATAAAGTACCAATTTCAAATCCCGGCTGTGACAACAGGATATTTTTCTCATGACTAAAAACACTGCACATCCAAAACCTCACCAATGCATCATTCCATCCTAAAATTGGTGATGTGAAGAAAATATAATAAAAAAAAGTAATATAATAAAATCTTCAGGTTATTCATGAAATCTACAGCATACAATTCAGCTATATCTACCATAGACAGTTAACATACTCTAAAAAACATCAGATATATTCAACACTTACAAAATAAATTGTAAATATTGCACACATCAAAATATGCTGGTATGAACATCACAACCAATGGAACAATTCAGGAAGATTCCTCCAATTAAAAGAATGTTTGAAAATTAATTCTGTATATCTGCACAATGTTTATAATGCAATAATAATGACCATCATGAAGGCTTATATTTATATTTACTGGCATTTTCTCTAAATCAACTTTTTACATTTTACACACACTTATATATTTAATGGCCAAGCTTTGGTCTCCTGAGCAAACCTGTCAGCTTGTTGCCCTGGAATCTTTGAGACCACTTTCTTGCTTAAGCCTTAACATATTGGCTGCCAGCAACGAGTATCCTCGCTCACGGGGTGTTGTTGAGGGCGCCAGGGACAAGTATACTCGTCAAAATCTTGGTAACATTCTAACGTCTTTGTTATACATTGTAGGACCAGACTCAACAGCTGGTAGTTCTGGGAAGATACACCTAGACGATAACGTACAAATAACGTATGTATGTTTGTTGTGTTATGTTGCCGATAGTACATTCGAGTGGCTCAAGTGGGGGCGCCCTTGAACATATACCAACCCATGCAAAAAGTGGACGAGATAACTTGCACTTGGCACAGTCAATAAAAAATGCTGTCCCAGTGCCTTCGATGAGTTTACTCATCCCCTAATAATTTCCCACCAAAAAGTATGTTTGTACATGTAAACTTGTTTTGGCAAACTACACAGGAAGAAGCTTACAAGAAAGGTCTGGTAGTCAATGTGTTAAGAGAGGAAATTCTTTCTGTGATTCCCTCCACCCTACCACCTTCATTTTACCAGCCCTTGGCCCACATCACGTCAGCCCCTTGTGTTTACCTTACCAGCATTTGCTTCCCATTTGTGTAACTAGCATTAAAATTATTAAAATGCATACATTAAAAACATTAATTGGAAAAAATGTTTAATAACAACATGGAAAACGATTTGAGACATATCTACGTGATACAGCAGACCATATCCCTGAATGCAACAGAACCTGTCCAATGAATCAGTCTTTCTGTAAATTCACAGAGGACCACTGGCCTTCCTGGTTTTCCTCAGAGTCTGGCGAATCTTTCGATTCGACTTCCATGTTTTCATCCTTAACTGGAGCTTGATCATCATTGGCAGATGGATCATCAATATTGTATTCACCAATCACAGCCTTGCTACTAAACTTACTCTTGAAAGCATTCTGCAGGTGAAGGAAAGTAAATCCAATATAAATGTAATCTGTTAATGTGGGTAGAGTATGTGATTAGACTAATAATGTAAATAGTCAAAATGATTGTTTAATCTGTGACGAACACCTGAATGTAATTGAATAGTCTGTAAATTTCAGTAGTGAATTAGTCTGTAGTTACTGAGTATGCTTTAATGTGAATAGACTATTAATATGTATAGTGCTGAGTATACTAATGCAAGCAACCTAGTAATTTAAATAGTCTTTTAATGTCTAAATGTCTGTAGTAATTATTCTCATTATCAAACAAAAAAAAAGTAATTAAAATAAATATGTGGTGTTTTATAATTGATGATAAAATGACAGAGCTTTCATTACAGCATTATTACCTAAATCACTTGATCAACATATTAAGCACAACTTCCTACATTTCCTGTAAAGAATTTCTAAAACTTGTGTATTTAATATAGTGGCGTATCTAGGCACACACACCCCCCCCCCCAGTTAACCCCCAAAAATTATGGTCAAGTAGTTAAAAATCATCTAAAATCACCTTATATTGCAAATTAGCGCCCCTAACTGATCATCGAGGCCCCCCTCCCCACTTCACCTTCGTGCGACTCCCCATTAGCACCCCTATTTCAAGACTTCTAGATATGCCACTGATTTGATAAGGGTGGTTTGTGTAAATGTGTATCTATCAGTCCCTACTATATTGTTTCATTAGTAAAACCAAAATTAAATTCAATGTTATTTCATTAGTTCAAAAACAAATTTATCATGCAGATTTTTAGTTAAAAACAAGGCCAAAAAGCATTCTTGTTGCCCAAGTCAGATTGATCCAAATAAATAAATATAGGTTTTTAAAATTATGTACATATATCAAAATGTCACTTTCCAATTAATGCAGTAGATGTGATATATTAACCATACATACTAGCTGACCTGTTACCATAACCAATGTATAAGAGACAGATATTAATCTTATTATTGTAGTAGTGATAATGTGTACACGTTTAAATTATTTTTATTTGTTAACGTCAATTTACATTTAAATTTAATGTATTGTTTAAGTATGAATTACTATGTCCATGTAAAATTAATCTTTTCTAAATTGTATATTTTAAATAATATAGTAATAGGCATAGCCGAGGTCTAGCCTAGGCCTAAACGAGTGACTATATCATGGGAGTGTATAATGCATTGTGGTATGGATACATGACATGGATGTTTTAACTTCACGGCGCTCACACAGACGGAAATCAACTTCTCCTTGTCGCTATACATGCGGAGAAGGTGATTTCCCTCTGTACGTCTAGCCTAGCCATGGATTCCTCTCTATGGTCTAGGCTAGTGTGTGATGTTCATCGGTTCGCCTTGAATGACTGAGACCATGCTGAGACCGAGGCTGTTCGTAGCGGACATTAACATGACAATAAACAGAAAATAGCGATCTTGTTGACATTATCTGTGTGAAATATTTTGTAAAGACATCGTTAAGAGGTGAATGATTAAAGCTTTAGGTATTTTGTCAGACTTTCATTGACATTTTAACTGGTCACGCGGACTTGCATGCATTTTACTAGCCATTGGCCGGCGGACCAGCGTTATTTCGAACCCTGATAACCAACCAAAATGTATGGGGTGACTAATGGTTGGGAATAAACCCTAGAAAGGGCTAAACAATTTTTATAAAAACCAACCAACCAACCTGTGCTTGGGCAACACCACCATTTTTGGCATATTGATATCAGTAATGTTAAAATAAAAATGATTTACAATTTTTCCCCTACTCAGTCAACAACATACAAATCAAAATATAATATAATAAAACTATTATTAAAGAGGAAGTGGAACTGTTTAAATTCTTACCAATAAAAAATTACCATAAGAAATTAATTTAACTATGTGATAAAACCCCTCCCTAGGTTCAACCCAAAAGAAAAACCAGAGCTCTATCCCAAGAAGAGATTGAAGTCTGATGTGAAAGCAACAAAATGTAGAACATTAAAACATGCAGAATGTATGAAAAATAGGCCTGATAATGTAGAACATTAAACCATGCGGAAAGTATGAACAATAGGCCTTAATGTAGAACCAGTGGCGTATCTAGCGGAGGGTGCGGGGAGGGGGAACTCCCCCGAAAATCATGGTCAAGTAGTTAAAAATCAGAAAATCACCATATTTTGTGAATTGCACCCCTCAACTGATCATCGAGCCCCACCCCCACTTTGCCTTCGCGCCCCCCATTAGCCCACCCCCATTTCAAGACTTCTAGATAGGCCACTGTGTAGAACATTAAGCCATGAAGAATGTATGAAAAATAGGCCTAATAATGTAAAACATTAAACCATGCTGAATGTATGAAAAATAGGCCTAGTAATGTCGAACATTAAACCATGCTGAATGTATGAAAAATAGGCCTAGTAATGTCGAACATTAAACCATGCTGAATGTATGAAAAATAGGCCTAATAATATAGAACATTAAGTATTTTTTAATAAAAATGCTAACTGCAGGTTGCAAATGCTGAATAGTGTAGACTAGTTTGTTTTCAGCCCTTCCCTCCTCAACAGTCTGAGCATGACTGGAGTGCAAAAATGAAAGGGAGTCAGGCATTACTAAAAAAAATAGGGAAAGCTAAGAAGGACTAAATCTCATCAGCAAGAAAAGCTTGGCAAATTCCACCACTGAATATAAAAGTACATCAATGATATCACAAATGTAACTTGTAATACAATTAACAAAATCTTTAACCACAAAAATGATAATACACAAAATGAAAATGTAAAAATACTAGAGAAAATTTAATGGAACAAGCTGCAGGAAGTTGTTTGTTATTTTTAAAATTTTTTTTAAACATGTAGATAATAACATTGAATAAAATGAAAAGTAAAATAAAATCTGCAAAAGTTAGAAATTAAAGAATTTAAATTTAAATTAGTTTTGCGCTTAGGTATGGCATGCAAAAAGTGCCAAATTTACGAACTTTTTATTAGTAAGCAGACTGGGTTAGTGGTTGCTTAAGATACACAGCCTCATCTAGGTCAAGGTTGTCAGGTACGGCTAGTGGGTATTCTCGGATTTGTGACTTCTCGTAAAAACGACCTTTCCAAGCAACCTAGGGGAATGAGATGAGAAAACGTGGCCATAAGGCTGATGTTTTTAAGTGAAATGTGCTTCAGTGAAAAAACTTGAGAATGATTGTAACAGTAAATAGTACCATCCTTTATGAAGCATTGTTTCTTTTACAAGGATTCTAAATCAACAGTGTTTATTTTATTTCCCTGGTCATAGGATACATAAGCAGGCCAGTGGGGTACTTTCTGTGGGTGTGGGGATGCACACCATGGGAAATATTGTCCTGGATTTTCAACTTAAAAAGTGCCAAGCAAAAAATTACACTCAGGTACATAAAAATCACCTCTTATCACCTGATTCTCTCAGCTACTGTAGCGTCAGAGAGCAGATTAGCTCAGTCGGCTAATCTGGTGGTAGCCACTGTGTGTACGCTGAACTGTTGAGATCTCTAGGTCCCTGGTTCAAATCCATCGCTGCCTCTCCTTGTATTTCAGCTGGAGGGCTGAAATACAAGTTACAACAGCGCACCGTCTTTCAGATGAGATGTTTAAGCCGTAGGTCCTGTGTGCATTTATGGCCCATGTGCATGTTAAAGAACACAGTGCACTCTTCGGAAAAGAGTAGGGGATTGTTTCCGGTGTACTGTCCAGTCACCACCGGAAGGACCCCACTGGAAATAAGTCTCCTTCTAGAATTTTGTGGGTTATCCTTGGTGTTAACATCAAATAAATCCAATCAAATCCAATCCATCCCCAGTTTCACATCTCACACCATTTTCCCCATCCCCATATTAATACTCCTAGATATGCCACTAAAACTGGTATGGCATATGATACGCCATGTGCAGCTTCCTCTGCTCATTGGGGAGTATTCTTAGTCATGGAGCCTGAGAGCTAATTTTGTACACAATCTAACTTCCTTCAAAATTAATCTCCTACCACAAAAATAAACATTGTGCTGCACAGGCCAACTGAACCAGAATCTTGAAAACCTTGCAGTTGGTAAATTACAAAAACTAAAAACATAAATAGTTATAGAGTATCCACTTATACCAAGGACCAGATCAACACAGAGCTGTTCTTCCCTGGGGCCAGTGTACTGTGCTTGCTGACACAGACAGAATTAATGTTTCAAAAGGCCACTTTTCAAGCTTTAAATAATGAACTTGATACTTCAACCTGGTTTAAGCCATTAAGTTATTATTTCATCAACCAGTGGTCAGCACTCAACACATGAATTGGGCTTAGAGAATTTATCTATCTTGGAAAACGATATTTCAAATAGTTATATAACTGTTTTGGCAACCTTTGGAGGACAATGTCCTTTATAATATTAATAATTATCATAATAAAATAAAGTTGAATTATTAATAATATTGGTGCTATAAAAATGGTATATATTGTGAAAGTGAAAGTAATACTAGCCATGCTGTTAACATATAAATAGTATATATTGTATGCAATTTCCAATGAATAGAACATTTGTTAAAACTTCATAATAACTTTAATTTAGATTTAGTTAATAATGATTTTCTGTTTTCTACAGTACAGTACTATTTGACTGCAACTGGAAGAAAACAAATGTCTTTTGAATTGAATTGAATATCTTAATGTTTTTAAACTTTATAATACATTTTTATGAAGACCAATTTCCACTGATCAAAAAAGCGGTACACAGCCGATGTAAAATAATAGATTTGTTATACTGTATGTTCTGTTATATAGACACATTTAGTATGAATCAGCTACTGAAAATAGGTTCTATTTATTTTTAAAATATCTACCCTTGCTGTGTCGATTTTCAGGGGAAATTAGCCCACAACACTACAGTATGCAGTGTGTATGAAAAAGAAGAGCAAAAGTCATAAATAAGTACAGTAATGCATATATTGTAGTACAGTAGATAATAATGTTCATTTGTTACAATATATTAATAAAAACTTATACAAGTATGTATTTGTTTAATATATATTTATATCTGCCAAAAGCCATAAAATAAAAATATATTATGTTGAAGCTGTCATATTTGTACTTACGTTTATTTGAGGCCAGGACAATCGGCTGATAGTCTCTTTATCCAGACCATACGCAATGGCATTAAAGACCCCTTGAAGAGGGGAGCAGATGGCATGGAGCAGAACAAGACCAAACACAGGGTTGTCAGGATTTGCTGCATTCTGGATTCTACAGAATCAATCAAACAAATACATCAATTAATTAACAATACAATCAATCACTTGATATAAAGTGTCAATCATTTATCATTTTAATTTTATTATACAGGTCTCCCTCCAATTATTCTCCTCCAATAAAAGACCACATTTCTGTAGCCCTAGTTGAATCCCATCTTTTTGTCATTAGCTGTTCCCTTCAATTCAAGATTCTCTCTATTTAGAGACCACAGACCATGTTTTCATTGATCCAAGTGAAAATTTTCCCTCCAATTAAAGACCACTATAATAGTGATGTTAATGCAATTTTTCTGTAATAAGTTGTCTTATACAACTTACACATAGAAATTTTAACCAATGTTCTGTTTTTTGTGTACATTGTTTTGCATATATGAATAACAATACCATTAGTGGCAATGTTAGTAATATTTTAATGGAAAGACAAGTTGATGTCTGTCTACCATGAAATGTTTTAATAAGAACAAAGAATAGCATGCAGTAACTGTACATCCATTTTAAAACATTTATTATTTTTTAATTTCCGACTAAATGGAAAAGTGCCCAGGAGTTCCAAGTCTCCTGCAGAGTCCCAGAATTTATTTATTATCATGCTTTTACAAGTTTCTACTACTGCGTTATCAATTGTTTCGCAGCAGTTAGTGCCAATCCCAATGGTTATCTTTATGCACAGCAAAATATATTTAGATGTCTCAAGAAAACTCATTTAAACAGATCTCCCGCATGTGGATTCTTCCAACTTGGGACCCCTGTTGAGTGCCGGTCTATAATTATAAGAACTCTATCAGACGCCAAACATAATGGTATTGGTAGACCAAACTGAAAATGTTCTACTACTAAAATATATAGTGGTTTTAGAGCAATGTTTTTACAGGCTACAGACATCAAGATAATATACATCAAAAACCAATGTTTTGTGTATACAGTGCTTCATATTGAATGGCAATAGGATGTTGAAGTTTTTATTTTTCTAATTAAATGGATACAAGACGAACACAGGTCTTCATGTGTGGTTAATAAGAAATGGTTTATAATGAAATTAGTAACAGTAAAATTATTCAAATATGGTTTTGGCATTTAATAAATACATTAGAATATATAGTGATTGCATTTTTAAAAATATATGATGATGATAATACAATGGTAAATATACATCAATATAATACACAACATACAGTAAGATGATGTTTTGTGTATACAGTGTTATATATTGAATTGGTAGGACGGTGTTGTCAGTAATATTGTAATGTTGATTTGGGTGAAAAGAGCACAGGACTTGATGTGTGACTACAGTAACATGGTAAATTAAAAATCAGCAAAAGCATATAGTAACTGTACTACCATTCTAAAAATATTTGGAATATAACAATCTTACATTTACTATGTCATTTCTAATTTTCCTCTAAACAGAGATTATTTAAAGACCAATTTTAGATAGGGACTTTAATTAGAGGGATTCTAATTAGAGACCAAAGCTGTTAAGGACCACTAAAACTCTGGTCCCAAAAGTGGTCTTTAATTGGAGGGAGACCTACATTCTCATTCAACAAGCAAACTGGAGCGGAGGTGAATAGCTCAGTGGTTAAGATGCTAGCCTTCAAATCCCAGGGTCATGGGTTCAATTCCTGTCACAGCAGGAATTTTTCTCACAGCTAAAAACTCCACTCCCTAAGCCTCATAAAGACACTTAGTTTACAAAGCATCATTCCATCCTGTAAGTGGCAGGTGTACTTGCTGTTGGATGTGAAGTAACTAAAAAAAAATGTAGCTATCAGTTTAACCGACTAAGATAAGCTGCTCATTTGCTAGAAAAGCAAAACCTTGAATAACATAAAATGAATTTCTGTTATTTTCAATGGACAATACAGTTATCTTGTATCTTGAACTTTTTTCCCTGAACATCAATAGACAATGAAATCTAAAAAATCAGATAATGATATTATTACAATTTTAAATTCAAAAGAGATTTACCTATTAATCAAAGGGAATATAGATAGCACCAAGTAGATGAAAGGGTAGGCCTTGAGAGGTTTGATGTCTTGTTTCAGGAGCTCCTTGCTGTGTTCTACATCAGGATCGTATGTACCCTCCCAAGTCCTCACTCGCTGATTCAGACGGTACGTTAGATAACTGTAAACCGCAAACATGATGATGATAATAACAAACAGCGGTCCGAACCATGTAAAGAAACGCCAATATGTCTCACCACTGCCATTAATCCAACTAGAAGAAAATGAGTTAATAAAAGTGTTAAAGTTAAACTGATGCCAATTAATGTTTCTTATTTTATTAATTTAGCTGGTCTTGTGCCACTCTAGGCCACTCTAGATAGGCTTTCTTCACAAAGGCTTCTACAAGTGGATGACTTGTTGTTGAACAGGAAATCAAGGTGTCCATCCCCAGTTAAATCGACGGGAAATTTACCGATAGATACAATTTTTTTTTTTTTTTGTGATAATGAAATTTCATTGGCAAGAAAAGTATTACAGTACTGGTACAGATAGCTGTCTTTTCTAAGACATTTGGCAGAGACTGACTAAAAAAAAAAAAAAAAAAAAAAATCTTTCCTTTAAACACAGTAATTGAACAATAGATATCATGACATTCAAGGATGCTGGTTGGCAAACATTCAAGCCTCAAGAAGTATTAATTCTAATGCTCTAACCATCAACATTGTGATAAATATGTGTGATGTACCCATATATGGGCATGATATCATACCACATCCATATTTGGGAAAATTACAGGTATTTGTCACATTTTACGTTTATGTAGGTACATCCTGCAAGGGAGTTTGGAATCCATAACTGCAGGGCAACAGGGGCAGTATAGACGAGTACACCGGGTAACCCCCTAATTGTCTTGAAAGGTGTACAGGGTTCTTAAAGTGCACATAAGCTATTTTTATACAATGGGCCAATGGATTACAGTCCTTATCTGAGAATACTTGTTCCACAACCAGAACCATACAGTAGGCATGCCCCCCTAACCTTCACCAATATTATAGCTACAGGTTGTTGCGCCCCTACCTTAACCGCTCAGCCGTTCGCCTTACTGAACACATGGAATTTGATCGCGTCAACAGAGCTTATAGCTAAAGTAATTTCTTCTTGTTTGTTTGTCCCTTGAATAAAGTAAAAAAAAAAAAACATTGATAATGTACTTACCACCAGGCACCTGCTGGTCCGTAGTGATCACCGATGAATGGAAGCAGAGAAATAAAGAGGGGAAATCCCCAGGATATTACATGATATAATCTGGAAAAAAAGAAATAAAATAACATATTGATGTTTTTGATTTGGCTTGTCAACAGTAAATAAAATGAAACATAAAGAAATGTAAGTAGATCAATAATTTATTAACTCAAATGTTTAATTTTGGAACACATCTGCATTCATATGTGTGCTATGGTCACTCATGAGAACAGCCATTTACATGTATCAAACCATATTTAACAGCAGTTTCTATAAACCTACCACATACTTAAATCTAAGCGCAAACAGTAGTTGAATATAGCCAAGGTAAAATCACCCTTCGATTGGTTAAAATTAAATGACTGTGAACATGGCATTAAAGAGTGAAGATCGAATTGAAAAAACAATCTAGCATTCACAAAATTTTAATTTAAGAGCTAGAGAATGGAAGATTGGTATAACAAAGCATCATTTCCAATTTCCTTACTTTTCTTCTTCTATATATTGATATGAAGGCTTGAGCTGCACCCAGTGGCGTATCTAGCAGTATTAAAATGGGGGTGCTGGTGGGGGGGGGGCACGATCAAAATATGAGGGGGCGTGGAATATATTTTCGGTGGCCACGCCCACTGAAAAATATTGCTTTATAGATTTCCGAATACACGTTAACCGTGACAGCATGAGCATAAGCCTAGCCTAATTTTTTTTGCTTCGAAGTTTTCGAATGTGGGAGTGCCTAGGGGACGCAAGCTTTTTGTGGGGAGGGGGGCGTGTGCCCCCATGCCCTCCCTTGGATATGCCACTGGCTGCACCGACCAGCAACAAATGCCTTGAAGTTGAACATGTGTGCAATTGAATTTCACTTATCGCTATCGTAGTTGCTCGGATGTAAGTGTAAAGTCGGACACTCACTGAATTGTGCGACGGTTTGTACAACCACCGTACAACGAAGCCAACAGCGCTCCCACTGAGCACTAGATGACATAACAGGGTGCATGCTGTCTCTTATACACATCTAGATGTGTATAAGAGACAGGGGGAAATCCCCAGGATATTACATGATATAATCTGGAAAAAAAGAAATAAAATAACATATTGATGTTTTTGATTTGGCTTGTCAACAGTAAATAAAATGAAACATAAAGAAATGCAAGTAGATCAATAATTTATTAAGTCAAATGTTTAATTTTGAAACACATCTGCATTCATATGTGTGCTATGGTCACTCATGAGAACAGCCATTTACTTGTAACAAACCATATTTAACAGCAGTTTCTATAAACCTACCACATACTTAAATCTAAGCGCAAACAGTTGAAAAAACAATCTAGCATTCACAAAATTTTAATTTAAGAGCTGGAGAATGGAAGATTGGTATCACGAAGCATCATTTCCAATTTCCTTACTTTTCTTCTTCTAAATATTGATATGAAGGCTTGAGCTGCACCGACCAGCAACAAATGCCTTGAAGTTGAACATGTGTGCAATTGAATTTCCCTTGCTATCGTAGTTGCTCAGATGAAAATGTAAAGTCGGACACTCACTGAATTGTGCGACGGTTTGTACAACCACCGTACAACGAAGCCAACAGCGCTCCCACTGAGCACTAGATGACATAACGCTGTCTGCTGATTGTCGGTGGCAGTCTGAACGGATCTCATTAAAAACGATCCGTTGCGCGCGTCATGGCGTTTCATTCTCCTATGGAATTGCATTGGCCAGTGACCGTTTGGTGCTCTTAGTGCCCAGCTTAACATCTGATCGAGATAGCCTGAATAATTTCACCGTACTTAAAACAAAGTCAACTTACATTTCAAACTTTTCTGAACTCTTCATTTTAATAACGTTGTAATAGAGATTAAAGGTGATACAACATACCCATAATAGCACAGCCCAATCTACAAAAATAACATTAAAAAAAATCATTCCTGAAGATGAAGATAAAGTTTAAAATATAGAATCACAATAGCTTGTAACAAAATAAAAAAAATAGGCTCCCAGCGGGAGCGTGTGTCTGTGCCCTATGCCGCCTTACTGTATTATGTTTACTATTAAAGTATCCACATGGGATTCGGTTATCAGGAAATGTGTGGTGTTGTATTTTTTTAATGATTTTTGTACAGTAATATGGTACTTAAGATGACGCAAGACCCATCACGCACCTCCACCGGATTTACCCTTTCAGTGTCTGAGAGGGCATAGACACAAACATTAGAGAACACCAATAACCTGGAAAATGTACAATGAGAGGATGCTATATGACTGATTTTCAACTTGGACATCATTTAAAGAGATGTTCAGGCCATCTGTTTTCAGCCTAACAATATAAGTGATTGGCAATAATAGTTGAGCTTAATAATTAAGTGATAAAATCTATCAACATATGCTCTTACTGAAATTTATGCTGAAAGAACAATCCTAAATAAATATTTTGGAATTTATAATAAACACAAAATTATAAATAGAAATATAAAGTGATTTGTTACCAAAGAACGAGAGCATCCAAGCTTGGAATTCACACCATGGTCCATCAGGGTGCATGTCACCCTAAAAAGTGGAAATAATACCTGAAAATTACTACAAAATTATTTTTAACACACACATAATGATTAAAATAACTTTTACAGACATTACAGATTTAGAAATGGCAATAAATTAAAAAAATTAAAAAATCATGTTGTTGACACCTATACTAATGATGACAATGATGATTTGTGATATATTTTTAAAAACTGATATCACCCTGAACAAGGCCAGGAAGTGCCACTTTGAGGTTAGGGGTTACTTTTTAATTACCTTTCTAAAAAATATTAAACGGCATGAATTGTTTGCATCTAGGGCTGAGACACGGTAAGAACCACTTCGCAGCCCATCAACAATGTAGGTCAACGGGCTGAGAATGGTTTGGTGGTTTGAACTGTCGACCGCAAGTTCAATAAACCAGAATGGAAACCGCAGGGCTAAACTGCTTTCCCCCGTAATAATGATAATGAGGATTACGAGATGTGATATGTAACACAAATAATATGAATGCATGTTCAATATTATAAGAAATGACAACAGCACTTTTAAAACTAACTATAAAATATATTGGCTCTAGCTTTTGTCCACAGTGGACTTCATCAGTCTCCTAATGAAGTCCACTATTAAGGCCTGTTTACACTATGACCATAATGACCAATGATAAAAAGCTAAAAAGCAATTGTTCATATAGAAAATAAAAGAAATAAGAGAAGTTTTCACATAGGAAAATGATAAAATGGCTTTATGATTTTATCGTTTTACCATGATTATGACATCATCTGATTTGATTTGTGAAATTATTTTTTTATCGTATACACGATAAATCGTTATCGAATTGTGCTAGTGTGAAACTTCTCTTATTGTTATTCTAACAATTGCTTTTTAGCATTGATCGTTATCGTCATAGTGTAAACAGGCCTTTAGTCTTAAAAGTACTGTACATATAGCAGACTAATGCAGCTACACCTTTTATTCATCATGTCTAAATACTGTACTGTATCTGTCTCCCTCTATTAAAAAATCCTTTTATAGAAATTGCTGTAATGCTGGCCAATCAAAATTCAGAATCTTATACTAAATTAATTATTCATTATGTGGTATTATCGAACAATGAGCCTTGAGTATCACTAGAATTGTAAAGCAAAATGAATGGATTCTCACCATTAGATATGTGATGGCATCAATGAATGCAGCGCAGCTGAGGTACAGAATGAGACGTTGGGTGAAAAATAAATACTTTTTGAAAAGCCAGATGAGTGTAATGATAAAGAGACTGAAATTACAAAAAAGAGAATGTACAATGAAAGGATTTGTGAAATGAATTCCCAAGGTTCTTAATTTAAATAAAGAAAATGAATCAAAGAATGATAAACCACTGAAAGGTTTATAAAAACAGGAAACAGATAGATAGTGGTTAAGACGCTTGCCTTCTAATCCAAGGTCCAAACCAAGGGTGAATCACTAATACAATAAGCAGTCATCTTGGCCCATTTGTTATAGACTACTCTACTAAAGCAGTCTTAATATTTAGCTGTCTACTGTATATCATTTAAGCCTGCTTGGAGGGGTCTACTAATCAATAAATGTTTTTCAAGGATATAGGCAAAAAAAGTAATAAACCAACTTCTAAATTCTGTACAACAGTCTGTGCTGCAAAAAACTGTCTACAGAAACTTGTTATTTTTTCAGTTCTGAAATGAGTTTGCTAATGTACTCATAAACACAATCCCATCAACAGCAAATGCACAGTTGCTATGGCAGATTTTTCAAGTTTCGTACTGTAGAATGCATTTCTGTACCTATCTTCCAATTTCCGTAGTAAATGAAACATTTCTGCAGTAATAATTTGCTAAAAATTACAGGTACATAATATGTGGAATTTCAAACAAATTCGACCAGATGATGTTTATGGGTAACTTTTCAGGACGGTTGGGCCCACTTTCAAATGGGTCTGATCATCCTAAAAATAGGCCCGATCGGCCTGGGCGCGATTGTCAGGCCCTGACTGTCTGCAATTCGATGTGGAATTTCAAACAAACGGCCACTTTTTCTTAGTTTTCACAATAATTTATCACTAATCTGACATGAGTTGTCTAGGGAAAATGTAACCAAATATCATGATGAAAGTCATTTGTCCTGGACTTTAGCCTTATTTATTTATGGGTTTAGGCCTATGATAAATTTTCCTAGTATTTTAGGCAAACTTTCAACAGCAAGCCCAACTACGAAAGCCCGCAGTACTTGAGAAGCCTACTATCGAGTGAATGAATTTTCAATACCCAGCCTAGCAGCCATCTAGAGGAAACTGTACTATAGGCATAAACATTTTTTACTTCATGGTTAGACCCCCTATCTGTAAAAGCCCTCTATTTTGAACACCTGAATATGCTACTGCCAAGAATACAAATTTGACAAAGTATAGACTTGCAACATAAATAACAGAACTAAAGACACTAGTACATTTAAACCAAAGACAAGTGAAAATGAATAGGCCTATAATAAATAATATTGTAATGAAAGACTACCAGAAATATTGATGAACATACAGTACAATATTTATTTATTTTATTCATTTATTTTTAAGCCAACAGCTAAAAAAAAAAAAAAAAAACGCCACTTAGGCAAGACTTTTTATACCTTGTTTAGCAAATCCTGCGCCTGTCAGTAATGATGATTTCAAATAAAAATAAAACTTAATTTTTGTCCAAAAAGCACACCCGCCGCCAACAAAAAATGGAAATTTCAGAAAAAAATAAAAGATACAGGTATGTATATTTTTGTCTATATAAATTTATAGCATTTAACAATCCCATTACTACACTGTTTACATTCACCAATAACATGTTATTTTTATTTTTTCCTCTGTCTGGATGTTTTTGGCAAAGCTCTTTGCTAAATGAAAAACCAAAAATTTTATTCTTATTTTTTTTCCCGCCCTCCTCTGACGATCTTTAAAAAAATAAGTTACAGCTCAAAAAATACAGGCAAGACAATCTAAAAGGACATTTTAATGTCCTTTTTTAAAACACCCACCCCAACATCAACATAGAATCAAGATACTAAACACGGTTACAAAGAAAACTTAAACCGCAATACTTTTTAAAATGTTGCATTGCTTTTCAATTTATAAATATTTTCTTAAAGTTTGTAAAGAGTGGTTATTTTGGATGGTATTGTCTAACATGTACTGCTGATATGAAAGTGCTATCCAATAGATATCTACCTGTACATATCTATCCTAATGTGGTGTACAATTACTTCTTATTATAATTTAATTATTATGAAGAACATTTACCATAGACTGAAAACAAAACAATCAATTTAATATAGTATCAATTTTATTTAACATTATTTTTTGTTTCTAAAGTCAGTTGTTTTATGAATACTGGCTCTTACTAAGTAAGCATCATTGTTTATACAGTTGTAAGTTCATGAAGTACCACAACTCAAATTTTTAATATATTGTAACAAATCAATTTTAAACTAAATGTTTTTGCTGTTTTTTACATTGTAAATGGTTTACTGTTTATATGTATTTGAGATGCAAATAAATCAAATCAAATAATGATAGTTGCAATATAGTATTAATGTAAATTTGTTTGAATAAAATTAATATTAATAATGAGACAAAATAAAATGAATTGCTAGTTTAAAAGGCAGTTCAAAGCACATCTAAAAACACACCTTTTTCAATAGTTCCTCTTACCTCGCTTAATCATTTTTATTTATTATTATTATTTATTCAACTTTCTTTTATGAGGGTAGCTCTTACAGCGATGCTGAATCAAAGAGGCCCTCATAACAAATACAAAACATACAGTATAACAAAACAAATACAGTAAATACATGTAAAATATATAAAGCACAATTATAAAATAGATTTTCGTTAAAATTTTTTTTTTAAAACAATTGCATAAACAAGATATAAAATTTCAATTCTAATAAAAGCAGTCATTAAGATGATTTTAGTGCTATTTTAGTTTATTTATTTTTATTTTTAGTTTGTTTATTTATTTTTAGTTTTGTTTATTGTTTTCTTATTTTTGTACTGCTTTATTGCATTAGTTAAGTTAGCTCACATGGGTTTGGTTCTATGCAACCTTTACTTGGGGGGGATGTTTCTGACTTATCATGGAGAGTCGCTTACAGTTACAGCGCTTCGTAACTGAAATGAAAGGTGCTATACAAGTAAGAAGTAACAAGTTTCATGCCCTGCCCTCATAACATTTTTAGCATCATGAACAAATTTTGAATTGTTTCTTTGTTGTTTTTTTATTCATTTTTCTATGGAAAATAAAATGATGATCTGAAAGATTGTTGTAAAAAGTGTAAAAAAAAAAAAAAAAACACAAATGGCAGAATATATTATAAAGATTTATTTTACATCTTTTTATAAAAAACACCACAATATACATTATTTACCAGCCAGTTTACCACTTAGCATATAGGATAGTAAATAGCAAATACTATAGTACAGACTTTCACCAAAAATAATTTTAAAAACTTGACATGAAACTAACAATTAATTTTACTTGGCATATTGATGATGATGATAATAATAATAATAATAATAATAATAATAATAATAATCATAGATTAATAATAATAATAATAATAATAATAATAATAATAATAATAATAATAATAATAATAATAGATTAATAATAGCCACTGAAAATGTTTAATACAAATCTGTCAACTGCTGTACTAAAATATATCAACAGCACCCTGTTTTTTTTTTTTTGTCCAAACAAAAAGATTATCTAAACCAAGTCCTAGAAAGGAATTCTATTCAACTATTATTTGTTGTCATGTAAATTTTGCACAACTATACTACTCAACAGAAGTATATTTTTAATTCAGCTTGAGCTCTTGGGTGCATAACAATAAGCCTACTAATAAGGTATATTGACAATTGTACTGTATAATGAATCTCTGGCAAAACGTCTTGCTTACGGGAGTCCTTCCCATTTCCAGGAGACTCACATGACTTGAAGGGGGGTTGGGACCCCTGCATTTAACTAATTTGTTGGTGCAGTAGTGTAAATAAACACAAAACTACGCTGTGGTAATTTCTGTAGAACAGCATTGAAACTATTTTTGTTAATGTTTGCACTGCAATACAGACAATCCTTAAAATTTAGTGCAAAATGCATTTACACTGTCTTTGATGTAATATCACTACAATGTTCTCACCATGTTCTCATTACTAATCTATAACAATACAAAACATAACCTTGAATATGTCTTGTTCATTTTACTAGTATTACATGAACACCACCACAGATCCTATTGACATCCGTATACGTAATCCTTGTAATCCCTATTTCCAAGTGCTACGGATATCAATGGCTGATGGAAAAACACACTCACATTTTTTCTAATAGTATTTGTGACAGGCAATCCTCGCACGGCACAAGCCTAGAATTAAAGTTATCCAAAAAAAGCAAACCAATTTGGGGGTTTATCAGTGCACCATTTGTCTTAAATCTTTTTTATCTTCAATTATTCTTACTGTACTAAAATTTTAAGAAGCTACACTAACATGTAGAATAACACAGTGTTTAGGTGAACATTGAGTATACAAATAGTTCACTCCTTCAGATTTATGTGAAAATTTGTTTTGTCTACTCTACACTATAAAACCTTCTGAGATTTGACCATATACTGTATGGTATAATTATATTGCATCAATCACACATAAAAACTTTATAGTGTAGAGAAAACTTTAAAATTAAACAATAAAACACTTTCTGAAGCTTAAATTTCGATGTCATGACATTGTTGTGAGTAAATCCTTATTTTCTGTGCAAAATAAATCTACCCTATTTTTCATAACTTGACTGCAGTACATAAAAGAGGAAAAACAAGTCTAGAAGGGCTAGAAATCTTTCTAAATGATACATAAATTGAAATGAATTTAGTGATTGTTTAGTTCAATTGAACACCATTCCACAACATGTGATGGGTCACATGCATCAGATCATGGTAAACAAGTTGGATGGACTGGATTACTTTGGTGTGATACTATTACACGCCAAGAACAACCCATCAAAATCAACCACATTAAACTCAAATTAAACAATATTAGCCCCGTTCATATCCAACTATGGCGAGATAATTTTAGTGGATGAGCTAGAAGATCTCGCCATAAGTTTGAGTATGACCGCTCAAGTATGGCGAGATGAAGGCCACAACTCTACTAAGCCCGTCGAGTAAATTTATGTTGACTAACTTGTTAATCCAGCCTAAAGCCAGTAAACAATTAAACAGCGGGTGGCCACAGGTCACGAATACACCAATCAAATTGAAGCAAAGTGGCCTTCCATGCTTGCTGGTTAGTGCGTTTTTTAGTTACTGTCATAAACACCATTTCAGAATTGACGTAGTCTCCCTGATCTGTGTACTTTAATTTCAACAAGTCTTATTTTGCAAATGATGGCCGAAAAGTCAGTAAAGAAACGCCATCTCTGGACTTATGCGCAGGAATGCGATTTAATAGATATCTGGAGGGAGCCAGAAATCGCCGAAAAAGTTGAAGATAAATTGTATCGTCAGAAGGCTGGTGTCCACGAAAGGATAACAGAGAGAATGCGGGACTTAGGCCACAATAGCATAACATCGGCAATTGTTGTGACAAAGTTGAAAAACCTAAGAGCAGACCACAAGGCTGTGAGAGATGTTTTTATTCGTGGGACGGGCAAGGGGTCGGCCAATGTAATAAGGGATGACCCGAAATCGGCATGCCCACACTACCACGCGCTAAACGAAATACTTGGGGGAAAACCCAGTGTAAACCCTTCAGCTGGACTCCTCGGCCAGTCTAATCAACCGCCGAGACCTAGGCCTAGCTTACGCCTATAGTCTCGATCTAGCATAAACTAGTCGCGCAAAAATCAACAGTAATTACCCATCATGCGATTGTACTTCCTGTCTAATGATGTGTTTTTTCCGAATTTCTGGTAGTCAAAATATCTCGCTCTAACCTTAACATCGAACGCGATTAGTGGATTTAATCCAATTAACTTGGCAAGTAGATCAGCTACTTCATCTGGCTATAATCCCATATGAACCTAGCTATTGTGGGCATTAGCTTAAAGGATGTACCAACACACTGCTCTTCAGCTTACGTCTGTGCTTCATACTGCATCAATAGTTTCATTCAATTCAATGTTTATTGTCAAACACAGAAAGATATATGGTTGGTTAAACAATACTAACACAATATTTGACTTTAGGATTGTTAACATGTTGCCAATGCTTCTAGTTTATTCATATTATTCCTTTTTGGGGAACACTTTCATTATAGATGCAGAATAACTGTGTTCCAATGAGCCCAGAATTTTGATTTCAAACCGAGTGGAGGTGAGATTGAGGGTGTTTAGTTTATAATAATGTGAGGTCAGACGATTGGATTATTTTGTGATGAGGAAATATTTCCCTCTGGCAACAGCTGCTTCAGTCTAGTCCCTAGTATCAAGTACAGTTAGTTTGATTTACTATCATAAGTATCTAAACTGTAAATTAGGTAATAATAAACAAGGAGTGCGTTAATTTCTACCTGCGCATGCCAAAGTTAAGCGTAAGCGGGGGAAAAAGTACTACCAAAAAACGACTGCCGCACCCTTGTCTACATGAATCGTATGCAAATTGTATAATTTTACCCTCACAAATCGAAAAGGCTGAAGTAGATGGATGGTTTTTGTTTATTGTGAAACATATACAACATGATTTTATTTCTTTTAAGTAGCGAATTCTACTTCCCAAGGAATTGAATGATTGGGACTACCTACAGTACCTCTGCATAATAAAGCAGTCAAGTAGCCAGTGATGGGATTATGTCCAGCCATGCTAAAATATTATTCAGAAACTACTGACTTCTACAGACACAGGATACTTCCTACAGTATAAGTACTACAGTATAGTGTCTTAAAACAAAAATAAGAGGTGATGAGCTTTCAAACAAAATATAAAAAATGATGACAAAAACTGGGCGGTCGTTCAAAGCCAAAACAGCGTAAGTGCACAAAAATACATGTACTGTATATGATAGAAATTACGTTGTTTTGAAATATGACGGCAGCGAGTTAAGTAAAGGGGGAATTATAACTACATACAGTACAGACAACTGTAATGAAAATGAAAAATAAAAATATTCAGGAAATGTACTATAAAAAGATGATAAAAAAAATCATTGTCACTAAAAATAATTTATAATGACCAGTGGTTGCCAATGAAACAATAGCCTTAGAAATGATGAAGCCAGTTGAAATGTCCCAGTAGAGATGACACAAGCTGATGAATAAAATCCCCAACTGAAATTGAAACTATTAATCTCCTTACCATCAGGGCAATAGAATCAAAAAGTGCAGCAATACTCAAACAAAGGATCAGGCGTTGCACAAAAAAAATATATTTCCGAAAAAGCCAGATCACACCGATCATTAACAAGCTGGAAATATAATTTATTCATCAGTTAATAGTTATTTTAAATTATTTATTTGTGCATTTAAAAAAAACCAAAGAAACAAAGTTCAATTTCCATGTAAAAATACAACACAAATATTAGGATGTTTCTGTACAATATTCTGTGGACAGAATGCTAGGCAGAGTTCGGCTTTCTATCTGCCTACATAGACTAAATCCCAACATTTAAAAAAAATGAAATGTTCAATATGAAATGCTAAAATGGTATTGATACAACATAAAATGAAATTAATTAATTATAGCAAAACACTGACAAATTACAGTATGATTGTTATAGTTTTAACCATTTTACTAAGTGTTTTTTATACTAACAGAAAAATATTGCCTATAACATAAGGAATAGTATTACAGTAGTTGGTCCTAATTGTTTTAAAGGCCAGCTCCGGTCATATATTTCCTCTTGGTTATATGTTTACATATATCAATTTCAAGAGATAATACCAAAATCGCGACAAAAAATAACGCAATTTCTTGGAGAATATGAAAACGAAAAATTGCTCTAATAGTGAGGCAAATACAGGCTTACAGAATTTCAGTAGCTTGGGGTTCCGATAGTTCAATGACCCCGTCTGAGTGACATTTCTACGAACGATTAGTATTATGAGAAAGTTTGTCACCCCACGTTGGAATTTACTCATCGCGCCTATGTCATTCTCTGTATAATCATAAATAGCATCGCTCTTATCGTAAAATGAAGCATTGTTTGTTTGTTTGATTAAATACATAACGTTGCTCAGGCCTAGGCTGCCTATTAAATATTTAGTTTTAATTGGGCCATTCATTTTTTTGTTTTGAAATTAATTCATAGCTCTAGGTGTTTATTGCCTGAAAAGAATGAGATATTTGTCAATTTGAGGTTTTATGCTAGGACCTTTTACTAAGCACAGTATTTATTTAAAATCTAGCTGCCAACTTATGCGGCCTAGCCTCGGGCTAGGCTAGCCCTAGACACGGTGTCATCTATCTACTATACCTGTTCCTTATCTCATCTTGCAAAACGTTTTCACCAAGTAAAGGATGTCTTTTTTAGATGCATACAAGTTCTAAAACATCTTTATCCAAGCATAGCTTCTGAAAAGTGTTGTCATTGATGAGGCAACTATTATTTCCAATTTTTTCATGAAGTTCTTCCCTCTCCTGGACAGCAAATACTGCCCTTCACTGTTTTTGGCTTTGGATGGGTCTTGCCTCTGGTTCAAAGGCATATGCTCGCCTTTGCGATACACGCCTAACCCTTGAGCTTTCACTTCCCTCCATGGTTTAACTTATAGTTTAAATCAATGTCTATCCTATCTGTAGGCCTGTCCTTATTCTCTCTCATCCCTAAATTTTAATCGACCTCTCGCGTCGTCGTCGCATCGCACCGATTGCACACAGAAAAAATTGACCGAAAAAAACTTTGCAAGTTCGCGCATGCTCATAAACAGTATTCCCGTAAACTGAAAAAAAGCCCGGTGGGAACAGTGTGGAATTTTTGACATGTACGAAAATAAAACGTTTATTAATTTGAGTAAAAACATCAGAAATGAATGAAATGGTTTAAAACACTCAAGATTAGTCATTTTTTGTACATTTTTGTGAAACCTTTAATATTTTTCCGATTTTTAAAAAATGCCTCCTTTTTTGACAATTTGTGTGTAAAGGAATAGGAATGTGACTTTGTAATTTGAGCTATACACCCACTTGGGAATGGGCCTTTATTTTTCAATTAACACTGTATTGCAACCGAATTCGTAAAAATTCTAAAAGTAATTTATGTTATAAACTGAATTATATAATAAATAAAAGTTTTTTCCCCGGAGCTGGCCTTTAAAATGATGGATGATTAAAAAAAATAATTTAATTAAATGAATAATCAGTTAATTGGTTTGAGATTAATTAAAGTATTATGCACATCAATTTGAATGTAAATTAGACTATGTACTAACTAAGTCTGTTAACTAGGTCAACAGGTGATCATACAAATAATATTTCAATAATCAATCATACCAGCCAATAATTGAGAAGGATGCTACTACTCTCTTAACTGCAACGATAATATCCTGCAAAATATAATTATAATACAAATATTCAATCAATCACCTACTTTTAGAATGATGAAATACAATGGTTTGTGTTGTGGTTATTATTACTTAGAAATAATATAATTTAAAAATTTCACTATTATTACACTATCCATGAGTATCAGTACTGGTTCTTATAATACAGTTACAGCATATTGAATAAAGTTTATGAATGGCATTCTTGTTATAAAAATAAAACTAAAAATAAATATTTTCAGGACGATCGAATCAAATTTGAAAGCGGGACTGATCGTCCTGAAAATGGGCTCAACAGTTGTGGAAATAGCCTAATTGTCCTGGGGCATATCGTCTCATGGGCCCGATCGTGATATTTAGGCAAAATCATTTCAGCCCACTGATATAGTTTGTATTTGTTGATGTTTAATACAATATCTAAATAAATAGATGAAATAGGCCTACCCTAGCCTAGGCCTAAATAATGTGACCATTTGAATTACGATTCTTAATCTTAATACCTGTAAATAAATTAAGAACACAATAATGAATCAGAATAAAATTGAGCCTGATAGTCTAGCCTAGGCCTACACTAGAAAAGGACCGTCCTAGGCCTAGCCTAGGCCTAGGTAGGTGGTAGGCCTACCCTACTAACTAAGCTAGGCTAGGTGGTCCCGATCGTCTTGGCGTGGCCCATTTCGTCCACATTAGTTAGGCACGATCATCTGGAAATGGGCCCCATCGTCTCGTGGGCCTAATCGTCTGTCACTCCAAGCACCAGGCCAAGGCTAGGCCTATCTGTCCAACGACCTGCGGCTGGTCGGCCGGATGGCATGATGACATAGATGAGGGTACACAGTAGCTTTAGCACGCACTCTCTCTTTAGGCCTAGGCTAGCCCTAAAGGCTGTGTTTTCCTGAATGTAACTTACACATTTCTTCTGTTCATCAAAAAGTGTACATTGATATGGATCGGGAGTAGTCGCTTGAATTTTTAGAAAATCTACTTCCAGCTCCATCTTTCAAAGCTAACACAAACTCGCACTGCAACCTCTATCTATGTATGTTGTGAACTTGCGATGCGATGACTAAAAAAAACAAAACGAGTCCGTCCGGTCTGTAAAAACTAGGACTGATGATGACTGACCTCATTGACCCCAGAAATATTCATAATATTAATTGGTTCCGCCCGTTCCGCCCCAGAGCCATATATATAAAGAGTTGCGACATTCCGCTCCTTGGTTTACGAAAGTCACGTGGTACACACCGTCCATTTTGTTTCATAATCTTCCCGGTGAACACATGCAAAGTATATGTGTTACGTACACTGCATATTAATTTCACACACTTAATTGGGTTTACAACTATATTTTATAATTAACATCACTTAGTATCAAAGATACTAGAAATACAAGATAGAGTTCTCGCATTGTAAAAATGAGGCGGAAGTCGTGCCCAACGTAGGCGGCGCCCTTCTTTTTAACCATGCAAGTTTCCTATACTTCGTGCCCAACGTACAGGGCGCCCTTCTGTTGCTAAGTAT